CATCCACGCTTATCCTTCATTACAAGTGAAGAAGACGAAGGGAATTTCACGATATTAGCATCAGAATATTTATCATATCCGCCATGTAAAGTCACCCCTTTTCTACCATACGCCGATTGGTGAAATGAAGGATTGGAAGAATAGTGTTGGAATCTAAGGGCAATCCATGTAAGAAAAAGGAAAAAAGAGAGTAGAAACGGAACTGCGTGCGGTTTTTTGAGGAAGAATTTCAGTGAATTCAAAAGGGTTACTGCAGTTTGTCGGGTTTGGGACTGGAATGGATCGATGGGGTCTGAAATTGGGAGTTGATTGGAATTCGAATGTGAAACTCTTCTCGGATTCGCCATTTTTTCTTATCTAATTCAACATTTTTTGGTGCTTACCCTCTTCGATGAGACGCCCCGCTTTTTTGCTAGTGATTTTCAGTGTTAGCAGGTGGTTGAGGTTCTCCTGGAAAACTGAAATGTGCTGAGAGTAAAGCTCAGCCTCAGGCGGCAGGCCAATCCCCTAAATCCGAATTTCAAAATTATATCTTTTTGTTTGGAACTCATAAAGCAAACACTGCTAAGTGTGAATAATAAATGGTTATTTATAAATATATGACTTAAATTAAGGGTTTGTTTGAGCTCCATTTTTAAAAAAAAATGCAAGTTGTAATAGTGTTATGATGGAGAATGTAAGGTTAAAAAATAAGGAAAAATTTTGAATTTTCGTGTAATATTATTTTATTAAAAAATGTGGTTGAAATGTAATCCAAACGCTGTTCAAGAATACATTTTTATAGAAAAATGGGTGGGTTAATATTCGGCTTTGAGTAAAATTATTAGTAACTCATCCAATGAAAGTCGAACATTAATTTCAATCAGACATACATAATTATCTTCCATTTATTCTCCACATATTTTATGAAATCCGTTACTTGTTATAAGTTACTAACAATTTTATTCAAAAGTGAAAAAGTAATTTTTTTTATTTAAAATAACTATTACTTTACTGGCAAACCATGTATACTTAGGCCTTGTTTGAGAGCGC